ATTAATCCAGAATGCGGCGGCAACATTCATGTTTAATGAGCCAAAAAGAATGCACGTCACACCTCTTTATCAATTTGCACTGGCTACCAGTAGCTGCTCGCATAAAATTCAAGGCATTAATGTTTGCCTACAAAACCACCACTGGCTCTGCACCCCTTTAATTCATTACTTCAGACTTATGTGCCCTCTAAATCACTTTCACATTTAACTGTTCCCTCCTGGTGGAATGACCTGCCCAACTCAATCCGAGCAGCTGAGTCCTCAGCCATCTTCAAGAATCGGCTAAAAACGCATCTCTTCCATCTTTATTTGACCCTCTAACTCTAGCACTCTCTATTCTAATTCTATTCTTTAATTTTAAAAAAATTAAAAAAACTTGCCCCTTTTAGACTTGCACTGCATTCAATTATTAATGGTTTGTTTTCATATATAAAGAAAATAACACTGGCTTCTCTATTCTTTTTGTGTTCTGTCTATTTGTTTTCTTTTTATTTATTAAAAAGGTGGGGGGGTGGGTAATTTCAAAATCACAAGGTCCGCAGATACTAATCCAGTGCGAATAGGGCTAAAGACCAGTACAGAAAGGGGAACTTAAGTAGGGTGACTAATGAGGGACAATCAGGTGAACTGAATTAGGCAATCAATTCTGAATTGGGCAATCAATTAGGCGAAACTAGGTCACTGGTTCATGGGGGAGAAAACGCAACAAACCGTCCTGGGGTGTGAAATAAATATATATATATATATATATTAATTAGGGTGGACCTTATTTTTGGACTTTTGATATCTTCTGCTCTCCCTCCCAGTCAACTCTCCTTAAAAGGAAACAAACCAAATTTCGGTTGAGATTGGACTATGTTTGGGGTGTGCTCAACAGAGTTGAAATTCTGTCTTAATAACCATAGCAGCATGTTATTAAAAATTATACAAAAGATTAGTGAACTGTAAATTTGGTTAAAAACAAGAACACCGAATCAGTGTTAGTTTTAAAATTACTCCAGCGCCGACTGGAGTTTGGTGTTTTGCTCAAGGGCACCTCATCAGTCCTAGTTACTGAACGTGGAAGATAGCACTATGCATTCACTCCTACATTTCCTGTTGGTACTGAGACTCGAACCCATGACCTTCAGGTTGCAAGTCTGTCTCTCGAACCATTAGGCCACAACTTCAGTCAGGCACCTCACTGCACTGGCTGTGAGATGTGTGGATGTGCCACAGCCTGAGAGACAGCAGGTGAATGTGTGTAATATGTGTCTGACCTCAGGGTGTTTCCCTACTGTCCACCACAGTGACCCTCACTCTGTGTGTTTGTTAAACACTGTGGTATGAAATGTTTACACATGTTCTAATTTGTTACACTGTTTAAGTTTAAGTTGTTAATGTTTTTCTATTATTTTGATCTTTTCATTGTTATATTTCTCCACATATATTTCAAGCTTTGGCATTGAATTATTTGAATTGAGAGAGAGAGAGAGTGTCAGACAGTCTGAAAAGCCCTCAAACACATCCTAGCTGTGGGGAGACCGAGAGATGGTTTCATGACTGCAGACCGCTTTTGTGGCAGGTACAAACAGACAGCAGTGACCTAATCCAGATTTTTTTTTAAAAACAATAGTTTCTGTAGTCGTTTTTTTTAGAGTTATGTAAAACTTACATTTTTATATTGCTTTTTCCTTTCATGACTTGTTTTATAATGCTTTGGCAATATTGTATGTAAACACAATCATGCCAATAATAATAAAATCAATTGAAAGAGTTGGAGAAGGGGGCGTTTATAGCACTCCTGTAAAGTTAACTCCATTAGGCTATATTTAGAGTAAATATAAGTTATAGCGGATAGAAAGCAGGACAGAAAATGTGCCATCATGCCAAAGTGCCCATATAACAAGAGTTTGAAAAGATGCTGCAATTAAAAGCACACAGTGCTCACATTCGTTAATGATTTCCATGATGACAGTCACTAGTTTCTAATCCTCATGTAGGCTACTTTAAGCAAGAGAAAAGCTGCTGCAAATTTCCCGCTGTAGTTTAAAATGTCAGACTTTAGAAACTTGCACATGAGTAAGAATGAGTCACTGAGAAATACTGAGAAATGTGAGCAAAATGCTGAGTCATTACAGAAGTGGTGCAAAATGCTGTCAATATTTGTTTTTTTTAAATAAGACCTATGGACAACTGACACAAATCAAGTTCATTACTATAAATTGCAAAATGGTAACATCAATATGCAAAAAAACAACAAAAAAACTAAGGTACACATTTAAAAATAAAGGTTCTTCACAGTGATGTCATAGAAGAACCATTTTTGGTCCCACAAAGAAGCATTCAGTCAAAGGTTCTTTAAAGAACCATCTCTTTCTTACCTTGTTGAATCTGAAGAACCTTCTTTTCGCCACGAACCTTTTGTGAAACAGAGAGGTTCTTCAGATGTTAAAGGTTCTTTATGGAACCATTTACAAAAAGGTTATTCTATGGCATCGTGAAGCACCTTTATTTTTAAGAGTGTATATCAACCTGTTTGGGCTGGTCTTTTGATTATAGTGGGGGGTTTGGGCACTTTTCAACTGGTCAGACTGAGAGACCATAAACCTGGTTCAGCAGGGTTTTTCTTTAGCAGGATGATCTCACAAATTGTGAATTTATGAACCCAAAACATGGGCCTAGTATTTTTGAATTATATATTAAATATATAATTTCAAACTGCTAGGGCAGCGGGGAAGATTATAGGCACTGATTTACATTATTTTAACATTGCTTTCAATTATTAGCTGTGCCAGATATGCTACACATTCAAGCATTTCATACTGAACCTAAACGGATCACCGTTTAACAGCAGATTTAGTTAAAAACAACTTGCAATCATATATAATTATTTTTATTTGCAAAAACAATACTTGTTACGTTTGCCATTACAGTAAAATATTTATACATCCCTATGTGGACAGGATTACTTTTACAAGATGGAGTAATGTAATTTTACCACAAGACATCTGTAGTATTAATGGTCAATTCGTACGGGATAAGAAAGCTTAGTAAAACTACCAGAATTGGGAGGGGTAACTTTATTTAAGCACCTCCCTGTCAACATGTAGGCTACATGCCACATTGCTTTCTGTGCATACTACGTTTCTTATAATCTGTTGCTTATAATGTTAGCTAGGTGTGGTCGAACAATATAATTAATTCAGTTCTGATTGGGTTCTGTTGGTATTAGGCCCTTACCTAAAGCTAACAGAAGCTTCATGCCAGGAAATGATGGAATATTTACGTGCATATTTACATCTGGTCTCTTTGCACAGGATTAGCATTACCTGAGGTCATTTTTCTGGACCTTTTTAACAGAAGGTGAAAGTCACCATAATCTTTACTGACATTGACCATAATGATTACTGAGATGACACATTCGGATGGGACTAAAATCACTGAGAAGCTCTGATAATAATTACTTTACCTTACCGCTCCATGTAAAACTAATCCTGTCCGAATGGGGCTGTAGATGGACCTAAACAAAATTAGGTCCGTTTTGTGCACTTGAGCTCATACAACTACAAACCCGATTCCAAAAAAGTTTGGACACTGTACAAATTGTGAATAAAAACAGAATGCAATGATGTGGAAGTTTATGTTATCTATATTCTATTGTGAATAAAATAACTTTATGAGATTTGTAAATTATTCCATTCCTTTTTTACTCAAAATTTGTACACTGTCCCAACTTTTTTGGAATTGGGTTTGTATTTGACCTGATGCAGGAAAAGTACATTGTCTTTGGTAGTTGGCAAAAGAGGAGGTGACATTTCCTGAGGTCTGAATGCATAGGACCAGCCAAAGGCTCCAAAGAGGATGGGATTGGTCTGCTGAGAATACATAGGCACTAGACAGTAGTGATGAGGCACAAAGTTACACGTGCAGACTGCAAAATTCAGTAACTGTGCTTCTGCTTTGGAGACCGCTTGAGGGACGTAGCTCAATCTTGCCAGTTTTTTTTTTTTAAATGCTTTGTTTAAAATGTTGGTCCAAGAATTCTGATGTTTGGCTGGTCCTCAATTCATCAAAGTTGATCATCTATAAACAGGAAAGATGTGGAAACCTCATGAGCAATAAGCATGTATGTCTTAGTTACATTATTAATGGTTAATTTATAGATTATTTATAAATTACTACACTTGCAAACATTTTTATTTTCTCAACAATAATGAAGACAAAAACGGCACGACTATAAACGATTTGAACTCAGTTGATGAAAATATTAATATACTGCTGTATCACAATACACTAACAATGCTTTTACTATAGAAAAAAGAAAATGTAGAAATAATTGATTCAAATAATCCATTCACATGTTGAGGACTGACCCACTGAGTTGAATGCTGGTAAACTCAACATTTTTACCAGCGGGTTAATTATAGAAAGATTTTATGATTAACCTACTTGAGCCACAACATAAACGTGCTATTAATGTATATTTGAAGAGACCATAAATCCAATTCATAATGTTGCTTTAAAAAACGCACACAAAGTAGGTAGCATTTATTATTGTGACCCTGGACCACAAAACCAGTCATAAGGGTACTTGGTATATTTGTAGCAATAGCACCAATACACTGCATGGGTCAAAATTATCGATTTTTCTTTTATGCCAAAAATCATTAGGATATTAAGTAAAGATCATGTTCCATGAAGATATTTTGTACATTTCCTACCGTAATTATATATCAAAACTTAATTGTTGATTAGTAATAGGCCATTGCTAAGGACTTAATTTGGACAACTTTAAAGGCGATTTTCCTCAATATTTTGATTTTTTGGCACTCTCATATTCCAGATTTATCTCAGCCAAATACCGTCATATCTTAAACCATGCATCAATGGAAAGCTTATTTATTTAGCTTTCAGATTAATCTCAATTTCCAAAATTGACCCTCATGACTGGTTTTGTGTTCCAGCGTCACATATACAGAGTAGGGGATTGGGGGAAACAACATGGGAGGGGAAAAAAACTAAAAGCATTGAAATATAAACGTTCCTCCCTTCTTATATTTTTCCATCACCTTGTCCCCTTGAGGCTCCGTACTAATAACTTTACCTGGCTCATTTTTAACAGGTAACACTACTTGAGGGGTGACAGGAGAGGGAGGGTCGGGTACATTGAACAGTGTGGGGATTGCGTTGGGTTTGAGTTTCCTTCCCCCTGCTGGTGATCTGGCGATCTCCTCAAACTGGCTTTCTTCAAAGTGGTCCTGCAAGTCATGGAAATGAAGCTTTGTGTCAAAAGTACACATATACGATTACACCAAAAGGAAGCCAGAAGAATGACTTCATTGTTGTCTTTTGCAGAATTTAATACTCGCATGCTTTTCACTTGCCTGGCACAGTCTGGAGCAGGGAGTCGGTACAAAATCACGCCGACAGTTTACAAGCCACTTTCTCATGCGCACGGGGTCTTTCGGAAAGCGAAAGAGCTGCTTTCCAATAGTTGTAGAGTTCGAGCAGTTTGGAGCGGAGCATCCACCCATTTTTATTTACATTCGCCAAATGTTTAACTTATCATCTGGGCACAACAACGGTGGCACGTACTGCTAGCAGAGGATTTAGCAGGTGTATTATTAAAAATACTTTACAATTTAGAGAAAGATACGGCAGTTATTTTAGCAGACGCACGCAGTGAGTTTACGGTCGGCCTCTTTAATGCATTGAGTATAAAATGCGATTTCTTAAGACGAATATGTTTTACTAGTAAGTGAAATGTAGAGTTTGTTTGAGCCAAAATGGCGTCAATGGCGTCGGTACCGTCGGTAGGCTAAGAGACAACTATTTGAAAATCTGGAATCTGAGGGTGCAAAAAAAATAAATCAAAATATTGAGAAAATCGCCTTTAAATTCGTCCAAATTAAGTTTAGCTTACTAAGCAAAAATAAGTTGAGAGATTTACGGTAGGAAATTTACAAAATATCTTCATGGAACATGATCTTTACTTGATATCCTAATGATTTTTGGGATAAAAGAAAAATCGATAATTTTGACCCATTCAATGTTTTGTTGGCTATTGCTACAAATATAACCGTGCGAATTAAGGTCCAGGGTCACAAATGCTATTTTTCATAAGCTTAGGTTTTCCAAATGTACTGATTAATAGTTCATTTTTCTCACCTCAGTGAAGAAAACCACTTGGTCTTCACCATGGATGGACAGAGCTTTGGCCACTGAATAGTGGTGGTGTTTCTTCCACTGAAAGTTTTATTTCTGGTAAAACATTACATACATAAATGATTTTTTGCCAAGGTGTTACATGGTGTTTATTATGAATAAGTAGCACTTAATGATACACACCAGACTCAGGCTCGCGGCAGCGCAGGAGTCTCCAGACCCTTCTCAGATGCCTTAACAGACACTCAAATATCCCACCTGCAACAAGATCAAATCAAAATATTTCTATGTAGCCTACAGTAGGTGGAATCCCTCCGCTTCTGCTTAATGTGCCAACAAGATTGTGTCTTTTTATGCACCTTTTTTTTTTTCAAAAGAAACGAGGAGCAGGGGTTTCCGCTAAAATGGATCTGACTGATCTTCTAACCCGAATGCTCATTTTACATGTAGGAATATATAGTCGATATAGACAGCACAGCCATTACAGAATTTAACTTGTGCGCAAAATTGAAATATTGCATAAAACATTCGCGAACAAGCAGTGTTTCCATCCAACGAGTCAGAGAGAACAACATCGACACTTCCTGATAAACTGGCACTAAACATCACTAAGAAAAGAAAGAGAAGCCACTGAATATAATAATTCTCAAATATAATAAATGACTTGCGCTTTAAGTGAGCAGACGAAACGCAATAAATGCGGTCTTGCTCTCGGAGGTGAATGTCAGCTGTTTGGGAACAAATTAAATCGGTGCGCTGGTTAGTCAGGGGTTGCTGTCCCGTAGCGCAAAGTCACGTAACTTTTTTTTTTTTTTTTTTGAACGCTCGTGCGGGATTTATTCGCAAAATGCATTTCCATCTCCCATTCATCGCACTAAGTCAAAAACCACCTCAAGCGAGCGTAAAAACTTTTGCGAATTAAGGGATTTCTTTTCTAAATTTGGCGTCTCCATCGCTCGTTTCTCATGCTTCAAATGCGCATTAAAACAGGGTGATGGAAACATGTGATTTTGTCATTAGACGTCTCCATTATAAATCAGGATTTTAGTGTCTTATGGGCCGCGTTTCAGTCACTATTCCATATTCATCTAGTTGTCCGACAACAGAAAAAGAAACAAATGAAAACCGTTTTACTTTGAATTTGGCTGTATTAAAAGACGTCAATCGGCGGGGTTTTTTGTGTGCACTTTTCGAGCTTGCTTTAGTTACTTTTCATTGAAAGAAGTTGGGAGGCATCCAGGCGATCAAGACCGCATGCCTCAAGCGTCTGTCGGTGCTGGTGCACCTCTCGAGATCCATGAGGTTATGCACATCGCTTAATAGCTGGCCTCCGTTACGCAGGCGAGCCAGGCGACCACTTTTTGGTAATTAAACCTCTCTAGAGACGGACCCAGGATAATAACTTCATATTTCCGGTAGCCTAGTTCGAGTTTCTCACTAATATCTACATCTATTTCGATGTTATTTTGCATGTACTCATTTAAAATCGCATCAACACCGAGCTACTTACAGTAGAATAATAAGTTAATAACATAACTGTCTTTAGGCCACTCGCGCCACACCAGTTACCGTGAGCCCTGCGCATACCGAAGTCACCGGGCGTCTCCGACATCCCTCAGCTTGTTCAATCGGCGGAGAAAAGCTCAAAACCCGTCAGCACGTCTACCTCCGTCTGTCGGAGCAGTGTGCATTGACTCTTTAAGCACGGAACGGGACGGGCTAACCAGTGATGTGAGACGGATGAGTGGCGCACGCGCCGGTGTTTATAAACATGATGCCGGGTTAAGAACGCAGCTTAAGTTTAAACTATTTCTCACCTCTGATGTTGCCTTCCATATCATTAGTCTTTGATGTTGCGATCAACTTGTTCAGCTACTCTTTATGAACTTAGACAGCAGAAAATGTTCCTCAGTCAGTCTGCCAAACCCGAAGAGGTGTGTGTGTGTGTGTGAGAGAGAGAGAGAGAGACCATAGGAGGCGGGGTATTCTCCAGAATCAGTATACTTGGGGCGGCATGCCCAGTCACGTGAAAAATGGTGCGCTTGTCAATCATCTAAACGCCATCGTCCTGCTCCAATCAGACGGACACGCCGCGCACCGCCTGGAGACAGATCTTGTTCGCAATGCAATAAATAACTGATGTTTGAAAGTACAACTTTACTCCAACACCATGTCTGTAAAAGGCTAATGTTTTGTGTTTGAAGGAGAGGAGAAGAGCATTTACCATCTAGTTGTAGCCTAATATACTTTTGTACGTTTTAAATATCCTGCTGTGGTTATAGCGCTTCATCGTTTATGTAATGAGATTTGGGCCAAACCAACAAGAAAAAGCGCCCATATAGCTACAATAAACGTTATAACCTGTGAGTTGATGAAGTATGCGATGCCCTTGCTGCCTCAGACTACAGATGGACACAACAGATCTCCGTCATTCGCTGGTCAAAAACCTGGCTAAACTCCATTTGACTTGTTAAACTCCCCTCCCACCAGATCCCGCAATTTAATCAGACCATCATACCTACCCTGTGGTTTCATACCTACCCTGTGGTTTTGTGAAACGCCGCCGTCTCCTCACGCAAGAGTTAGCCTAGTAAAATAACGCAGTTCCTTGCATTAGGCGTGCATATGAAATATAAAGTACTAAAGTATGCTATATAAATAAATGTTTAAACTAGGTCTCGAGAGCAAGTGGGCCCCCTGGTGTTTCGAGGGCCCTACGCATTATTGCACTAATTGTACGTTTTTATGTGTTGTCAAGAATGAGCAACAGACAGACAGCCTAGGTTTGTCAGGGCAGAATCCGGATGTCACAAGAAAAAGAAACCTCACAGGTGCGAACAGAAAGAGTGGCTTTTAACACCTAACTGCTATCGCATTGTTTTTTTTTACATTGTATAAAATCTATTAATACACAAGTGTTTGTAGGATTATATATGGACCAATCATAAAAAATGTAATTAGTAAAATATAGAAAAAATATGTAACACATTAGTATGATGAACAACTTCTCAGCTATCATTTAGGTACTTCTTAGCTTGCATATTGGCTGTTTATTAGTAGGCTACTTAGAAAGCACATATTAACTCCTTATTCTTCATGGCCAAATTCCGCATCCCATAATCCTACCTAATACCTAAACTTAACAACGACTACCTTAAAAGATATTAATAAGCAGTAAATTAAGAGTTTGAGGCGGAAGTCATAGTTAATAGTGAATGTGTTCCCCATACTAAAGTGTTAAATAATTTAGGATACAAATTATTGGTTGTCCAGCAGTGTACTTAATTTATTTTCTTCTGTATGTCACTATTCCCTGCATGTACATGTTTCAAACACCACTTTATTTTCAATAGACAGAGGTAGAAGTGAATTCAGAGTTGAGTGAATGAGGCAGAAAGTTTCAATGAAGCTTCAGAGGTAAGGACAGATTATTTACAGTATTGTCTATAAGATATTTCTTATACATTTAGACTAATTTGTACTTTTTTTTTTTTTTGTAGACCGAACAGGGGCATCTGGCATAGGGTTGGCTGCTGGAGAAGTAGGCAGGTCTTCTGTAACTGTATTAAAACCCCACCAGCCAGATCCTAAGACTATTGTGTGTCAGGTGCTTCGGGACAGAATTCAAATTAGTAAAATATAGAAAAAATATGTAACGCATTAGTATGATGAACAACTTCTCAGCTATCATTTAGGTACTTCTTAGCTTGCATATTGGCTGTTTATTAGTAGGCTACTTAGCACATATTAACTCCTTATTCTTCATGGCCATATTCCGCATCCCATAATCCTACCTAATACCTAAACTTAACAACGACTACCTTAAAAGATATTTGGCTTCATTTTGAGCCTGGTATTGATGGGGCATTGTGCTTCTACTGCCACAAAGCCTTTAAAAACAAAACATCAGAACTTGCCAAAAATTCAGAAACCTCCTTTATCATCTCTGGCTTTGAGAACTTGAAGAAGGCCAGAGAGAGGTTTACATTACATGCTGGATAAGAATGTCACAAGACAAGCCATAACACACATCTATGAATCAAGACCAATAGATGTTCAGCTGTCCAATGTACTGGCATCCCAGCAAGAGGAGGCAAGGAAATGCCTATTAAAGATAATCAGTGCTGTGCAGTTTCTGGCAAGACAAGGTTTATCTTTTAGAGGCCTATTGACCCTCAGGCCATCCCAGATGTTGGTGACTTTTTTTAATTTTTTTTTTTTTCTAGAACAGTAAAGATTTTTATCTGAAACTGTGATCCTTGGCGCGACTACACGTCTATGGCTGCCGGTTTTTGATTGTTTAGCTTCATAAGAACTCAATGTGTCCCCAGGAACCACTGCTTATTTGGTCTTGTCTATATGCGTTTTTTGAATCTCAAAAGCTGTCCGGCAGCCACAAGTGTGCAGTTTATGAATTACCAAAGACATTTTGGGTTAACTATATCCTTAATGCATAATCCATAATGTTTAGGGTGTATGACAAATGTTAT